TCCCAATATTTTGTTAAAGAAAAATTTTCACTCAACAGAAAATATATATTTCTCAATAAAAAATGTTGGTGTAATATATTCTCAACTCTTTATGCAGGCCGTTTTTTTAGCTGATTCCACTATTGATAACTTTGTTATTTAGGAGAAATGAAATAATCTCTTCAGTGGTTTTTTGAAATATTCCCCAAAAACTCGAATTGCCGAATTTTTGTTTATGGCTCTACCGCCTCCATTTTGAATGATATCAAAAAAAGCAAAGGAACTTTTAATACTGTATCATATTTGTTATAACCTGTCATAAACCATTTTGCAATGCGAAGTTTCGTTCATTATATGTCATCATCAACTTCAGTTTTTTGAACACACCTGTATTGTAATACGTAACTAAATTTGTTATTACAGTGGCTACAAAAAACGATGAAAAAACAAGAGATAAAAAAGCGGCCTGTATATAACCGATATTTCGTTTTGATTCCATTTGAAAATCGTCATTTCAGTTATACCTGTGCCTATTATACCCTCCATAAATACTTGCATGAGTTTGACATCAACAACAAGTACGTCGACTTCAACTGTTGTGAATTCAAACCAGTTACAGGCCTTAGCTGAAGTTTGTAGCACTGTAAGTATTATATTATTGTTTTTTAAGACTAAGTCCTCCTAAAAATATTTGCTTCCCAATTAGAATAATATTAGGCTGTTTGACAGTAACATTTGGATATATTCGAATCCATGTTATTCATAACACACCAGACATAAAATTGTGACAAATCTTTTCGTAAGAGTGAGACATCGTTCGTAGAAGAAATTGATTTGAATATTTTTACGTCATCAGAGAAAATGAGTACCTTTCTATGTTCTATAATTGTAACTAGATCAATAATAAATAGGTTGAATAGCAAAGGTCCACAGTGGGAACCCTGAGGAACACCCGAAGGCACAGGCTTCTACCAGATTGGAAACTCTGGATCCACTGCAAGATTGGTCCATAAAAACGTAACGAAGATAGTTTGGCGATAAGAAAATCTTTTTTGACCCTAACAAATGCTTTAGAAAAATCTATATAGATAGAGTCCACCTGTAATCGTTTCTCTATAGCACCTAAAATGTAGTTTTCATGAACAAGTAGCTTTACCACAGTTGATTTATTAGCAACAAATCCATGTTGCTGTGGAGATATTAGCCTTTGCTTTGCCAAGTCATATACCTGTTTACTGAAAAGTCAAAAAGTTTGGGTAGTCAAAGCAAGTAATTTATGAAGACATTAAATAGTAAAGGTCCCAAAACGGTACCTTGTGGAACCCTATATCCAAACATATTATGTAGCAATAATGACCAAAACCTACAAATCTCAACTTTTTCCTTAAGTTTTCATGCATAATACATTTTTTAAGGTAACTGTCAGTGACAGCATAGTGAATCCAATACCCGGCCCTGTTATGAATTCCCTGGTGTCCGAAACAAAAGTGGTTTGTAATGAATCTATCCCTAACCCTATCACGACTGTTCCAATTCCTGTTCCTCTAGATTCTGATGAAGCAAAGACTGTAACTATACTCAGCGGCACGATGGAATGTTTCGAGTAGCTACTCATTGTTAACACTTCTATGGATTAAGACAAGGAATTCGGGCCCAAGTGGTTGACCTTTCTTGACTATATTTATGACCCCGGCCATTGTAAGTGATGATTTTTCGAGAGTTAGTTCGAACACATTTTTTAGCTGAGGATTCATTCTGTTCTGGGATTTCGGCCGAGAACTAAACCCGCTCTACAGTCTCATCGATTATCGAGAAAAGCATTAGTTCCTCAAGGTTATCCTGTAATTTTCTTTTTCGTATTTTGTTTGTCGTTGTGTTTTGTTGTTAATGAATTTCGTTATTGATAAACGCTGTGTTAGTCTAAATAATAATTCACCTATCACCAGTCCCAACATTTTGAATTTATTTTAGAAATTTTATTAGTTCCGGTTGTATTGGACGCGACGTATATTTCAAAAATGTCTGTCAGATATAATTCAATGTCCATTGTGGTATTACCCAGGGAAATAGTTGTTTTTCGGCAGCCATCTACCAGTAGCTATTTATTTCTCCTCGATACAGTCATCAGACTTATTTTGATTTCTGAATTACTGAAATATATACTGAATTATATCACTTTTAGTGGATACCAGATGTTGAGTGTTAGATTAGGTTAGCTCTAAAGTGAGTGGGCCTATTCGACCCTCCACCGCAACCCGCAAGGGTTTATTGTGGCTCACACCTATTCACACTCGGCCAAATAAACCCAGCTTCTTAACGAAGCCGATTAGTTTGTATGAAGAGTGGTCTTTCAGGTCTGATGGTAACACTACGGCTCTGTCGAACTCTAAAAACCTGATTCGGTCCCCAGCGGGGCAGGCACAAAGTATATGCTCTGCTGTTTCATCATTTTCCAAACGGAGTAGACACACACTGCCTTCCGACAGTCCAAGTCTCTACATATGATGATTCAAATTACAGTGACTTGTAAGAAGGCCTGTTAGACATCGTAGTTTATCCCTACTGGAGTCCAACATCTGTTTGGTATCAAGCTTCGAAGGGTGAATAAACGCCTAAGAGTGAGCCAATCCTGGAAGATTCTGTCAGAAGTCCATAAATCTTCTTGCCACCCAGGTGTTCAAAATTTGTTTGGCAAAGCCTAAAGCGATGCCAACGACAGGTTCTGGTCCGATGAAGCTGCTTGCAGCTGCAGACTCCCTTTGCAAGGGAGTCAGCAGCTTCGTTGCCTTCCAGGCCAGTATGGCAAGGAATCCAGACCAGAGACAATCTGTTAAGTCTTCCTATCGAGGAGAGTCGTTTTTTGCCAATTTGCTACCAATTTAGACGTTGCTTGGTAGGATCCAAGAGGTTCCAACACCGATTGACTGTCCAAGAATATTTTTATTGACTTGTGTATGAGGTTGGATTCTTCCAATCTCTCCGCACACAATTCAATAGCGTAAATTTCCTCTTTAAATACAGTCGCTTAGGTTCCTAGACATGTTGATATCTCTGTCCTGGGTCTTCGACTGAAAACACCTGCACCAGAACCGGAAGGTGTTTTTGATCCATCTGTGAACCAACAACTATCTGCTCTTAATATTTCCTTCNAGTCCTAAAGCAAAACCACAAATGTGCAGATTCCTCATTATGAAGTTTCTATTGGCTTTCAAAAATCAGGTTGAATACCACGACCATCTTCGCTCATCAATGATGTTGTTTCATGACATATTTAGTGAATTGGAATAAATGTGTAAAATTACCCATTTAGTTCACATTTTCAAAATTGGATAATATTAGGGATAGCAATAATAACAACACCTTTCCAATAAAATTGTTTATTTTAATAAGTGCTGCTAACAATTTATATTATTATCTAATGAAAAAATTAATGTCAAAAAATTCTTGCCTATTTTTATCATAATGATTATTCATAATCAGTAATTGATCAATAGATTCTGCTATTGAAACTAAAGATATACGTGTGATCCTAGACTCCACACTTAGCTATAAATCACACATTTCGGCTGTAATTCAGAAATCTATGGAGATGCTTGGCTTTATAAAGAGAACCCCCCGTGATTTCACCAACATCACTGCTATTAAATCTCTTTATTTTTCCATGGTTAGATCTCATCTCGATCATTGTTCCACAGTTTGGTCCCCTCATTACGTTACACAAAAAGTGAAACTGGAGGCGGTAGAGCACAATTTCCAGCGATATATTGCCTTTAAGATGTGTGTATACTATGACTATACTGCATTGGAATGCATTTTGAACATATCTTCTCTTGAGGCTCGCAGAAAACATAGAGATTTAATACTTCTATTCTAAATTATCAACGAACTGAGTATCGGCCTCAAGCTTCTCCCCTAAATATCTTTACATGTTCCCCCAGTCGTTCAACTAGGCAGGTGCAAACGTTTTACGTTTCTTTTCACAGATCCAATTATTAGATAGATAGATAGATAGATCTTTATTTAAATAGGATATCCTAATAATATACAAATCAACTAGAATGGTAGAAAAAAAAAACAAGGTATGTGTTACATATAAAATGACTTGAATGTATGACAAACATAAGTTCAATAAAATATTTTTAAAGACATTACTACAAAAACAGCAACATTATACATTCGAAAAATTTCAATGCAACATGTAGAAAGATAAATTGCATAATTATTTGAAATATATAACGAACATTAGATGAATGGAATTATACAAATTACAGCTACAGGTAACAAAGACATAATACATATCATATTTGTACATTTAAAACAAATTTCTTCAGTTCATTTTTGAACATGTTCAGAGATGAGCTATTTTTAATTGCATTAGGTAATTTGTTGAACGGATCAAAACCCTTGAAAAACAATGAGTTCACAGTATTTTTGTTTTTTGTTCTGTTAATATATAAGTTATTATTATTTCGAGTGAAGTGGTGGTGAATATCGTGATGAAAGACAATATACTGATTAAAATAAGATGGTCCTAAATTGTTCAATATTTTGTATACGAATATCATTGTGAAGTATAGCAGTCTTTGGGAAATGGATTGCCAATTTAAAACATTGAGCATAATAGTGATAGGAGTATATCTACGGCACTTCAAAATGATTCTCATACCACGATTCTGAAGTTTTTGGAGTTGAGACAATTTATTCTGATTGAATAGACATAGGATAGAGGAACAATAGTCGAAGTGTGGCTGAACAATCGACTTGTAAACTGTGATACTTGACTCCGTTGAAAGATTATTGACAATTCTAGAAAAAAAGAATGATTTCTTTGAAATTTTTTTATGAATATACTCAAAATGTTCATCAAACGATAGAGTGTTATCTATCTGGAATCCCAGATATTTAGTTGAATTCACTAACTCTGAATAGTCAATGCTCGCCACAATTTCATTTATGCTTTCAACAAAATAACTGTTGAAGTTATCTGATATTTCAATAACATCTTTTAGTAATATAAGTTCACCAGTTTTCTCAAACTGAATACAATTCATATAACAGATTTATTCCCAGAACTCTTCGATTGGCTAACTCTTTAAATAATCTTCAAATGTTTAATATATCAGTTTTCCGCTTTAAAAACCATATTCTTCATCTAGCCATCTAATACTTTCTGCTTGTGTTGTTGTATTGTGTCTACTGTTACTTGTCTGTAAGAATTATATTAGTTTATAGTGTTATACATTTTAATTTTTCTTAAAATCTAATTGTCATCTTACTTAGAAACTGTATTCTTCTTATAATTTACTTTTAACCCACTGTATTGCATCAAGTACTACATAGCACTGTACTACTTATATCTGAATTGGGCTTGCCCGTGTATATACATAAATAGTAAAAAAACTATAAAATTTCTGGGTCTCACTTTGGATCAGAAACTAACATGGGAAGCACACATACAAACATTGTGTTCAAAAATGAGCACTTCCTGTTATATAATAAGAAACTTAAGAGAAACTGTTTCACATGGCGTTTTAAGAACACTTTATTTTGGGTTAGTTCAGTCAGCCCTACAGTATGGACTGATCTTCTGGGGTTCTTCCTGTCATTTTAAGGAGACATTGAGAAGGTATTGAGGACTATATTTAAAGCCCATCCAAGTTCAACCTGCAAACCTCTATTTAAACAATTTCAAATAATGACGCTGCCTTGTCTTTATATATCTCAGTTAATAATGTTTGTAAAGGAAAATGAAATAGAGTTAAAAAAAATCGTGATGTTCACTCGTATTTGACTAGAAATAGAGGAAATTTTTACCAGCCTTATTCTAGACTTGGAGTATGCCAAAATTCACCGAATTATATGGGTGTCAAATGTTTTAACAAAGTAAAGAGCTTTATTGACAATAATAACAACATTAATATTTTCAAGAAAAATTTATATCTATTTTCAATTGATAACTCATTCTATAGTATTGATGAGTTTTTAGACTTTTAACTTTATATAGTCTACGTAGGTATATCTCTCTTATTTTAGTTTTGTATGATCTATGTAGGTCTATCTCTCTTTAGATTTATACGATTATGTCTCTCATTATGTGAACATATATTGTGTATATTTTTTTTCTCTGACTAGTCCGATAAATGTTATGCATTTTGTGAGTCAACACAGTTTGTATAACCTTTGGTGATGAATAAATATGAAAAAATAAATAAATATTTGTATCGAATTCATTGAAGTTCTTTCTGCTGAACAATCCAGTTTGTTGTAGAAACGATCTGAAATACGAGGATTTAGCCTTACTATGCGACTTATTTTATTTACCTTTCGAGCACGGAAGTCAAGGACTGCAGTTACTTCAAGAATTCAATTGGCTAAAGTCTAACGCACATCTTGTCATCATAGCAAATCAAAAAAATGACAAATTCAGCCCCGAAGTGAGTTGAAGTTTTCACCAAGACAATACATACTTTCAGAATTTCACATTCTAGGTTCAGGAATGGTTTACAAGGGCGGAAAAATTGAATGAAATGACACAATCAGTAAATCGACTTTTCCAGCATTTGTCGAGTTGCAATAACAGAGAACTGCTGTACGATTTGTATTCTTATATTTGGGATATTCGAGGTGTCATATCTTTGCTCAACTCGTACGTCAAGTGGTTAGGTGAGTAGTCTGTAGGTTTTGAAGCAATTATTATGTCTATTGGGAAGGAAATATTTTGTGTTACTGTAGTACATAGTTTAGAAACTCTGTTGGAAAAATCTGTTGAAATATGTCTTTTCAACATTCTTTTATTTTGCTAAAAGGCAATTTTTTAAAACAATGTAGATGGAAATGGCAATAAATGCATTATATTATAATAACTCATTGTTGGGCCAAAATTACAAACCACATACCTTCGAACCAATGGTTTTTTATAATAAATATACTAACATTACTTAAATAATTACCATATGTATCAAAAAGTCTCCATTTATTCTTTTATTATTATTTTTACGAATTCGGATCAGGGAATATGACATGCCATGACATAATGGCTTCAATCACTTCAATCTTTCATCTGTTTCTTGGAAATTTTGACTTTGGAATTTCGGTATTGAATTTCAATAAATTCGAAATGTCGACTTCAATATTAGGTTTCCTA